ACAGGTTGGAGTTCAAAAGTAACACTTGATACAATCACGCACAGCAACAATAAATGTGATGCCATTGACATTTTAAGCATACTGCTAAAAACATGATTAAAATTAAACCAATTACTAAAGCAATTGTTTTGAAGTACTGTATAAAAAGGAAATGGGTGTTGTTCTCTTTCCCCCAATGATCTGATGAGAAACGCACTTAGCTGTTCAGAGCAGAAGTTCATTGGGTTGATTTCTGGTTTATCCTGGAAAATGGAATAGCTAAAAGAATCTTGCTCCTGTTTGTTAACTAATGATTTTTGCTGGATAATGTACATATTGAGAAAGTAACTCCACAATGATATTTTAGGATGCACCAAACAAATAGAGCAAGGGGACATAGATTTAGAGTTGCAAAGGGCAATTTCAGACACCATGAGGCAGTTCTTTAACCAAAGGTTAATTGAAGGCCAGAACAGGTTTCCAGGAAGGGTGCTTGAGGCCAGGCAACTGGACTCATTTAAAAACAGCTTAATGTTGTGATAGGAAGACTGTAGGGTAGATAGTCTGGAAGGATGAGATAAGGTGGGGCATATGGATTTCTTTATCCAAACCTATTGTGTGATCTACTGCATATGGGTATCATAAGCAAAGAATGCATTAGGCTCAGCTGTGACACGTCCATGATTGAATAACTTGCTGAAATTTACATTCCAGTTTAACATGAAAAACAGTACTTAGATGATGTACTGGAGGGTTCTAAGAAAAAAAAACAGAAATAGAATGTATTGCCCTCTGAGTATGACTGAGGATCAATATCAAATACATTATTAGGACTAACACAATTATTATCTAGCCTTAATAGGTGTTAGTACTATATAGGTCACGAATAGAATGTTATCTAGTATAAGACAACTGTAGCTGAGACCTTAGCATTGAATTCACTATTCCTTATATTTAAAAATTGTTCTCATGTCTTAGACTGTTCACCTCCAATTGCAGAATATTCACACATTTTATGGTAATGTTTGTGTTTGTATTCAGCGCCTTGGGACGTCCTCCTGACGTGAAAGGCGCTAAACAAAAATGTAAATGTAATGTGTTGTTACTGAGGCCCTGAACAATACAACATTGGTTGCTGAAAGTGAAATGAAATATTGTTGACTCAAATGATACTGTTTGATATTGGTGCTGAAACATTTATCAATGTCATGCAATTGCGATTGAATAGTTAACATTTGAAAGCCCAAACTGTGGAAATAAATTATGTTAGAGAACTCCCCAGTCTGTTTCTCTCATGCTTTCCATACTGTATATATACAGCAGCCCCCCACTATTGCACAATCAGATAAATATGATGATAGTGAATGCCTAATACTTTGATACGGCTTTTACTCCACTCATGAAGTTGAGCTGTACAATTCACTCTCAGCATTTGAACTGCACTTTGTGATTTAACACTGAATAGTTCTGACCACTCATTAACAGAACAAATGAAATGCCCTTTCTATAACATGCCCCTTGCCGTAATATGAATTTTTAATAGCTCTCAAAGATTCTACATTATTCAATAACAATCCTAACACTGTGATTACGTAGAACTGTACACTGAAATGAATACTACAGTGAAGTGCTGCAGTGTGAAGTGCATGCAATAATTAATTAAAACAGTCTTTCATCTGCACTATTTATAGAGGAAACGTGCGACTTCATAACAATTAGGATATTGCCAGGAACTGGATTACATTTGAATTACCTTTACTGACCATATATGTAGTATATGGATATTTACAAACCCACCATGGCTAAATTCCACCTGTTTGTATTGACCTGAACTACAGCACAGCAAGAATTACAAGTGTACCTGCATTGACAATGTCAATCACAAGCCTTAATGAGTAACTAAAGAGTTAATGTTCTACTTAAAATTTCTGTTCACAGGCTTTTTGTTGGCTCCCTTTTTAATTCTTTAGGTCAGGCAACATCATCGATACACAATGACAGGGGATGTTCAGCAGAAAGAAAAGAAATGTAGCTGGGAGGAAAGCAAGTGCGCACAGAGTTTTCATGCTGACGTTCAGGTAGGATGTCAAAGCTGGGTATCTCTGAACAAAATCTTAATAATTAACAGCCAAATTTTAACATGATCTCTTCTGGCACACCCACACTGGTAATTATTGCTTTAAGGCCATTTACTAATGAAATTAATGTATTCATTGCCCTAACAAATTAGTATAACTCGTACATAATGCCCTGCATTTGTGACCTCTCAGTAAGAGGTTCCCAAAATACCACCAGAATTAAATGGCAAGAGCATTAAATGGAGGCTGTATTCACTGGAGTGTTGTATGTATCTAACCACAAAGGATATTCTCTTTAAAATGCAGAATACATCTGATGACAGTATAAATGAAACCCTAATTAATATAAGCTCAGTTTTGTGGACTAATGATATTGTTGTGCAGCAAATTTATTGTTAGTTATGTGTCTGCAAACATTGGGCTGACAATTAACGTAACTAATATTATGGAAATTGATTTTACTGAAAAAGGAACTTTGGCCTTTTAGTCAATTACATCTTATGCATTATGGGCTGGCATTTATCTTGAATATGTTTGGTGTGCAACATGAAAAAGCAAATGGGACAAATAGAATATTACAAAGTAAAATCTGTATAGAATTTGATTGTATACACACAAGATAATAATGAAATTGTATTCACAAGGTTAATTAATATGTTTTGTTCCCTTTTGATCCTCAAAGTGCATGTGCGTGCCAGGGTGTTTAACACAAACAGAGATATGTTTGCATCATTTTATTCTTTCGATAGAATTATCTCTTTAAAAACTAATATGTAGCCTAAATTTGCAGTTTCCATGCCACCCTGGTTAGCTAAGAATTGAGTAAAATAAATTAACTGGGATATTACACTTGCTGTTGTTAATAGAATGATAGAACTGCAGTTAATCTGTTCTTTGTTCCCAGACTGATATTACAGATAAACTCTCTCCATTTTTCTCTATGTGAACTGGTTGGTTATTACCTTCTAACAACCGATAACAAATAAAAAGATATGTGTTTTTTAGAGAACAATCTACGTTGGGGGAAGTTCAGCCATGAAGCTAAGTGAAATGTCTAAATCTCATTGCAAATTGTATTTTCACAGGTTTCATAAAGTCTCAAAACATCAAGCATTTATTTTTACAAGGTGTGGGAGTTTGTTTTCCAATAATGTGCCTCTCGGGATGGAAACTGATAAAGAGTGCTGTATTCCATCTCTCTTTCACACGGTTATACACTGTATTCATTACAGTCCTGTCGTCACATCTGCAAGGCATGAGGACAAAACCAAATTCTGAATGCAAAGTTACCACACAGATGCAAGGACAAAATATCTGTCTACATAGATGTTTGATCATATTTACAAAATATGTCTAGATATTAATCCTGATAATCCAGTGAGAGATGGGACACTGCCTCCTCATGTGTTATCAGATCTATGATAGTCTTGTGGACAGGTGGCACCATGGTTATAATGTATTTCTCCAATTGTCATGTATAGGGAAGAGGGTAAATAGCTTTGTGTTGGCCATATGTCAATCCATTTCATAGAATTCCAGTACGGGAGGATTGTATGGACTGATGATGGTGAAGAGCCCATCTGATCTCTACAAGGAATAGAAAAAGGGGGGGAAAGGAAATAGGGAAATGTTGAATACAAAGTCTGTTTTTATGAACACTCAGAAAATATGTGAAAGATTCTACCTGGTTAGTGTTGAAAGAAATGATAAGGGAGCGAATCTTTACTTCTCCCCCTCCATTATCTCCCAGATAGCTCATTTTGAAACATGGGTCTATGGGCCCTAACTGCTTTGCACATACTTTGCCCAAGTGTGATCAGGCAGGACATTCAATTATAGTGAACAAGACATTCATACCCAAGCCAAAACCTCCCCTCATCCAATGTCTGTATCTATGCATCTTACAGTAGCATTCAATGTATAATGATCAGCAGTGGAAACCCTATATTTTTCTCTTTAGGAATACTGGGGCCCAGCTGAGATCAGCTAAATCAGCAGCGGTATGGATTGAATCTGTGGCCTTTCTGATTTGCACACCAGTAAAACATGTATTTTACCACTGAGCTATTTTAAGTTAGTAGATAAAGTGTTTCAATGTAGGAAGCTGTTATATAAAAATGGGTAAGAACTAACAATAGGCTAAAAAGACAAAGAAAATGGCAACAAATGCAATCCACATTTTGTTAAATTCTGCACAGTTCTTGTGGTTATGAATGAAACACATTGTGGTTTAAAAGTTAACAAGTCACCAAATGAATAATATGATCTTAAATTAAGTTTATGGAGTAATTTAGAACACATTTTCCATCAGTTATGCCAACAAATAGGACTGAAATTAATAGGTTCACGAGTAAGCTTAAAAACATCTGTAAAACATCTCAAATAATTAGAAATAAATTGACAATCATAAAAANGAACCTACATTCTGAAGACAATTAAAATTTCAACATTATGTTGATTTAAATTTTGGTGAGTCTATCACTCATTACACTGACTTCAGATAATGAGGAATATTGATGTTTCACTACAACTAAATAGCAGGTACCTCACATACTGCAGTTGAAAAGGATTCGTACAGCACTTAGACGCATTCATATGTAGATCTAGCATGGTAAAGCTCACATTGGAGTGCACATTATTTAAATGTTAGACACAATGTCAATTTTAATGTAATGGCAGACAGCACTCACATCTCACAAATGCTGATATGACTCAAAAACCCATTACATCACTTTAATTGCAAGTGGTCCCCCAGGATAATAAGATTTAAACATTTTTAGCACTCAATCTTGAGGATCATTGGCAATATTTATTTTTATAGCTCCTAATACAATTATTTGTTTTTAACTAACAGAAAATCTTATGAAGATAGAATAAATACACTTATCTTATGTGTATTATCTCCCCCACCCTCTCCCCCATTGCTGGCAGACAGTAACTTACCTCAGCTGTGCACACTTTACATCGCAGCCTTTCTTCATTCCTGAAGCCCTGCACAAAAAAATTCCATTCATGAGAAAAGCAAAAGAGGACATTTCTAAATTGTGCTAATATGAACTGACGTTGCTATGACTGCACAGCAGTTTGCAGACCCTCAATCAATCTTATAGCCCTCAATAATCGCGGTGGCGTTCTGGAGCAAGCCTTAAATTGCAGTTTAACTTGGTCTAAAGTTTCGTTAAAGATCCCGTTCCGTTCCCTGAATTTAAAAACGCTCCATCAGCATTTTCAAAATGTTTCTAATTTTGTCATTAATATCATCATTACTGAAAATCAATGTTGCAAATATGAAGAAAACAGGTGCAGTTTCTGGAAGGTGTGCTTGAGATGAACTAATTAACGGATTAAAATGCACGACTCCTGAGTAATATCACTTCTCAAGGAACAGTCACTTCGGACGGTCCGTTTATTTTGAACACAATTACACTGATAACAGTGATGGAGCTTATGTTGTTTTATATTAAACTAATTTGAAGTACTGCGTCTGGACAGTCCCCTGGTGCCGGTTCCAAACCATTTAACATTTTTTATTGGCCCACTCCATAAAATCTTGGTTACAAACCATTATGAATTTGCATGCATGACCCACTTTGAAGACTGTCATCAAAGACAAATGACCCAAGTTATGGATAAAGTCAAGAGCTGATTCATTTATTATGAAAATCTAACAGGCTGTAGTGTTCGCAACTATCTGTTCGAACCACTGCATAAATATACCTCGTTGTAGTAATTCTCTTCAAATGCCCCATAGCTGAAAGGGACATGTAAGTGAAAGTTAATGCATTGTGCATATAGAGATAAAAAATGAATCATCTGTTTACAGGACTGGTTTGTAAATCATTCACAAGCACTCAACTAATCCCCTGGTCTGCAGCAAAAAAAACTTCTCCTGGCTGATCCAGTCTAGTTCTGGATTGACATTTCATTTCGGAACAGTTTGACCCAAAGTTTGCCCTAAATCAGCTGACTTTAAGCACTTTGAGACGTCCTCCCGACGTGAAAGGCACAATATAAATGTAAATTGTATTGCAGTGTATTGAAGCGTGACAACAGCGAGTGAGCTATAATTGTCCTCAGTGCTCCTGGGTTTGGGAAGGGGCAAACATTTCCATTGCCAATTGCTTTCCAGCAATCCCTGTGTCAGTGTTGTTGGGTGAGGACAGGGTGGCTTGTGCTCAGGGTTAAGATTCTCCATTTTCGCAAAGCCAGCATTCAGGTTCACACATGGAAGAATGGCCATTTACATGAGATATTGGGGAGACCCTGCACTGATGTTTCCTAGCATGAATCATCAGCTTCAGTGAAGTAAATGGGAAAATTAGAGCAAGTGGTTTCTAAGTATGGTTAACTGTAAAAACTTTAGAAGACCAGCATTAAATAAATACCTTAGGAAGGCCTTACATGTCTCAGTAGCAGAGCATTAAGAAAATCAAACATATCATTAAAGCTGTGCAGCAGGCAAATGTAATGTGGAGGTGATACTGATCTGGGCCATCAGCACAAGTAAAACCCATTAAACTATCCAAATGCAATTGAAAAGGAATCTCACTCAGGGACCAGTTTAAAGATGAGATTTGTTTCCTTCCTGGAGTTTTCAAATACGCCGGTCAGGAATAGCATGGTAGTTTCTCACCTCAGGTTGACCCAAATTCGATATAATCAGCGCAAACAGAACGGGGATGAAATGAGCAATGAAGAATACCAGAAGGCCAATCCTCAAATGACGTCACTTTGCAGAAAATATGGCGTTCCTCAAGCATATCAGTCATCAGTTAAAACTCATACTTATTTTGGCAGGAACTCATTGCATTTTCCACATTTTTTTGTTGAAGTTGGTCCATGGCCAAGTTTTTGAATGAAACTCCAAAACAAAAAAAAACATTTTGAGTGGTATGTCCTAACTCGTCAAATTGACTCACTTTGGAGGTTGTTGCAGACTTATTATTATTATTGATTCAGCCAAGTTTCTGACACATGCAAAAACACATGCACCATTCTTAAGGGTTTCTAAAACAAACGACTGAGAGCTCTACACACGTTTAGTTTCTGTTTGTCTGGTATGGAGTGTACACTCCCCAGAGAGATACACCCTATTTACTTAATCCCAGAGAGCCAGGCACATTTTAGCAAGAGCATTTTAGAAGACCAGGAGACCTTAGGGGTCTTGAGAGTGGTCTTTGGGGCACTCCTGGAATTTAATTAACTAAAACTACACAGAGATGTCTGAGAGAGGACTTTATACAGGAATATAAGATTTTAAATGGAGAAGGTAAATCCGGAATAATATTTCCAGATACAAAGGCAGCAGAATAAGAGGAGACAAGTTCAGGATTGCAAAAGGAAATTTTAGGACAGATGACACCAGGAAGTATTTCTTTACCCAGTGGATAATTAACAACTGGAATGAGTTATTTGGAAAAGAGGGTGAGGTAAAATGAGGCAACATGAAACCTCTGGCGTGTGGAAGAGTTATGGATGTTTAATTAGAATTTGCATTTACCGCCTAGTGGTGCAAGTGTTCGAAGCAGTTCACAAAGACATTGCTGAAAAAAGTAATTAAGGCACTTAAATTATGCTGGAAGCTAATTAAACAGGGAAATCTACAATTTTCCGCTGCATCTGAGGCTCACTGAACACAGGGGCATTTAATCACGATCTGAGTAGGTGTAAGTCTACTAACTGTGTGCAGAGTGCTGCAACTTGGCAGACAGTACAGTGCAATGAATTTTGTATTAGGCAATGGTGTGTGCTCTTGAATGTAGCTGTCATTGTATTATCCCACGAGGGCAGAGAGGGAGCGAAGTAAGAGTGGTTAGGGGGTCACAAGTGGTGGACTGCCCACACTAGGACCATATCAAGGAAAAGCGCCTTCACAGTCCCAGACTGTCCAATATGAAGCTCACCGTTTCTGGCAACCCTTGTCCTGGCAGTGATTTTATAGATTAATGATGGGATTATTGATATCAGATGACACCACAGCAGATGTCACTGTACCACAGCAGTGAGGAGGAAGCACAGTGACACTGCCAAATGTAGACTAAACGATGAATATAAAAAGGGTATGAATAGGCTTTCAGCATTGATAAAGTCTTTTCAGCATATTCCAAGTGTGTATCTAAACTCCTTTTTTTTAGCAAGAGAAAGAACTGATCCACAATCTCTGCTTTACCCCCAATGAATCAGCATAGCAATATCAGATTGGTTATTTTCTTTACAGATAAAATAACCACTCAGTTTACCAGGACCAGTGGTTAGATTCAAGGTCCTTATCCAGATAGGATCATCATACTGATTAGAGCAATGCTTTCTTTTGACTATATTGTTTTATCCTGTCCTAAGAATCTGTTAAATCTAATTTTACTGGATAACTTTGCTGTTGGACAATAGCATGCTCAAGCCAGCTCTAACAATGGTCAAGGACAAACCACATTATACTCTGACAGCAAACCTCAGCGCCAATGTCAGAAAGAGCTCCCTAGCTCACAGCAAAATTGCCATCTCTCTAAGCATCTAGCCTTTATGAGCTCTGAGTGCAAACCTGTCACATTAGTCCTAATTGGACTGAATTTTAGGGCACTTTTGTGTCTCTACTGTATGATTGTAAGGGGGCAAACACGTGGCAACATTCAGACGCAGTGGAGTTTACTGGGTTCTATCACCGCCCAGAACTGCTGTGCCTTAACTCACTATTGGGACGTCCTCCCAACGTTAAAGGTGCTTTACAAATGTAATTTTGTTGTTGCTGTATTGTTGGTGTAAGATTCACCAATGCTGCAATTCTACCACCGATAATCAGTTAAGTGAAAACCCACAATTTTTAAAAAAATATTAAATATCGCCCCATTTTCTAGGCAGTGTAGGTTACAGTGACAGACACAACATCCTTTCTGTCACATCTGCTGCTCCAGAGGCGGGGGTGGAGAAAAGAGAAACTGTCCAGATTAGGGAATCAATTTCCTAATTATTTTAATACAAATATGAGGCATTTTGGTCAATTAATCCTGTATTTAGCAAAGAAATAAAACGGCCCTTCAATTTGATCTGGATTCAAATTATCCTGCATTTGGAGTCACTCATTTGGACAAAGGTTCTTTTGGATTTGACCCAAACTCAATTAATCTATATCAATTGCATGCTGCCATTTGACTGTAATGTCCTGTAGTTTGAATGTTTCGAAAACTTACATCCAAGTTTTGAAAAGATCCTTTCTGAACAGCATAGCAGGTCTTGGTAAATGGTTTGGTGTGTTGTGACAATACATTACTTTTTCACAGACAATATATCCCATCCATGTAACAGAATGTGCAACAAATCAGCTAGATTAATAATGAATAGTTATCAAATCACCACAGTAATGTTTAGGATCACTGGCATTAACCATCATGGGCACAACAAATGTTAACATGTCATTAATAAAATATTAATAACTAATTCTCATTACCCGAGTTGGACAGTTATTCATCAACTCTCATCATCTTAAAAGTGAATTTCTTTGCAAAACCTACTGTTACTTTAACACTGCACGATTGGCACTACGCCATCCTACATTTTCAGTGTTAAAAGGGCATTTTAAGGTGTCACTGCAACCTGGCATTAAGGGACACAAGATAAATTCAGAGAGGTTGGTTCATTTGGTTTCATTTCACACCTGCAGCCACACACAGACCCGTGCCAGTACCAAGATCACTTTTTGAAAATTCTTTATTTAACAATGATATAAAATTGCACCAGTACAGTAGTCTCCTTTGAATTTCGGCTGATTGAAAGGAGTTGACTGAGCTGTCAGTTCTTCTTGATTGTACTAAAATGGCCTAAACCAGAGACTAGAAAGCACAGCTCTATACATCTGTTTGAGCCATCAGAAAAAAGCTCTGCATCCTGCACTCCACAGGGATTCAAGGGGCAGTGAAACTACAACTCCTCAGCTGCATAGAGGCCAATATTGTTTGTATTGCACTGAAAAAGGCAATATACAGACAGCATAAATAACATTATCCCGAGGTGCAGAAGAGAATGTGGGCCAATTTGTTACTGAATAACTCCTGGAACTTCTTGGGATTAAGTTATGCTGAATAACCTAGAAACCAACGGTTATTTTATTACTACATTATTAATATGTAACAAATTAATGATTCAAAAGTGAAACAATCCCTACACCACATCAAATGCAAGTGCACAGAACAGAATTTCAAAAAATGACTATACATCAGAAAACAATAATGCAGGGAGTTCATATGAGTAATTGGATGTTAGGGCTTCCAGTGCTACTTATTGTTCAAGTGTATTCAAAGTTTGCCAAAACAATTCTCAACTTTCATTATAATTCAGCAGAGGGTATCAACATTACTGGCGTTAGTCCACAGGCAAGGCCGCACCTTTTAAATACTGTATGTATTCATCACAATGTCAATTTTCTTGCTTTTATAAAAAACGATTGAAGCAGAATTCAGTAAAACCAATCATTGTCAGTGAGTCATCCAAGTGCACAGATGCAATATGAAGCAATTTTGAACATATTTTGTGGGTTGCGGAATATACAGTAAATCCTTAAACTGAGAAACACGGTGGAAAAGACTTTCACACACTCAATCATTAACCATTTGTCCCGGTCACTGTAATGATTAATTCAATGCAAGTTTAAAAGGAGAGGAAAAAAAGCAGCTCTTAAAATTTTTTTTGATTCAGTCACAGATGAATCACATGGGAAGAAATCCTTGGAACTGAGAACCATAATCTACATTACAACAAACATTACATAGAAAAAATAAATAGTTCTCACTCGAAATATGAAAGGTCTTCAGTGGCCCTAACATGGAAATGCTTGTTTTTATCTCAGCTAACACAAATTCTGGATGTTTTAAATCTGTTGCCGTGCAATCCTTCCTATTTCAGAAATTTCACTTACACTTGCATCTCAATTTATTGTAAGTGACGTGCTTATCCGGAGTGTGTGCACACGTGTGTGTATGGGTTTTGATTTAAATAGTTTTAATTGTGCAGCTTGCTTCTATTTATTCTCTGTCTTCACAGAATTGTGACAATTCACACAATTTACATAACATTGTCCTGTTGAGATGCAGAAGTGAATGTGATGCAATTTACAACTGAATAAGTGCTGTTGTCTCATGGAATTTTCTCATGTTGGCTGGCCTAGGAACCAACATTTTCACTATGGGCCCTTTGTTTCTTTCCCATATTTCCTTCTCTCTTTTTTTCTTCCCTTTGATCCTTTTTTGGCTGGCCTGGAAATTGCTTTCCTCAAACTTAACACCCTTGAAAACCAGAGAGGCAAGGAATTTAAGGAAACTAATTAAAATTGGAAGTTAGCACAAACTCTGGTGGAACGGCTGAAGTTGCATTAAAAGGGCTATTGTCTCCATGGAAAAGTGCTGAAGTATGTGTTTTCCTCACAAAAACTCCACACCATAATGTAAATCAAGTTAAAATACATTATTGTCATCGCAATACTTTCATGTGATGTAAATGATGCCCGGCTAATCTCAAAGTGTGTCAAACACTTTCTCATGAAGCCAGAGTCACTGGATTTCTTTGCAAATATAAGAATAAATAATAATAATTCTTGCATTTGATATAGCTAATGCCTTTTTACATCTCTGAGACATCTCAAAGCACTTCACAGAATATACTGTAAAGTGAATTGACTGTATATGTTGTGATGCAATTTACAATCGAATAAGTCCTGTTGTCTCATGGAATTTTCTCATGTTGGCTGGCATAGGAACCAACGTTTTCACTATGGGTCCTTTGTTTCTTTCCCATATTTCCTTCTGGTGAATATAGTACAGGAATGCATGTTACATAAATAACATAGCATTGAACTTTATGTTGCTATTTTTCATTTTTATCTATTTTGTCCCATCTCCACGGTGGGTGTTCCAAGGATCTGATACCTGGTAGGTATCTGCCTGTAGGTAGATGTCTAATCTGACATTCTACAACAACAACTTGCATTTATACAGTGCCCCTCACATGGGGTAGCATTCCAGAGCGCTTCTAGCATAGGAAAGCTCTCATCTTCCTCAGCTCAGGGTTAGGTTTCAGCCTCTTAAATTCTACATTTCCACAGCACTGATAATCCAAACACTCATCCCAATTTCAAAATAATTTTTATTTGCTGCAGAGTTGCTTAAGGCAGTTTTTGTTGGCTCAACCTCCTCCGAAAATTATAACTTGATTTAGCTAATCCCAGGAAGATCTAAGATAATTTGACTGAAATCAACAGAAATTGCCTCACAATTAGAGTCATTTAAAGTGCTGCAAGTGTATTTTTGCACCAACACTACTCTATTTATTTTGGCCAAAGGGCTTCCAATCCTTTTATTTGTAAATCTGATGAAAGCAAAATCCTTGATGTAAACAAATCTTGAAATGAACCCAACTTGTGGCAGATGTAGTCCTTGCTTGTTTAATTACTGCTATATGCATAATTACTAGGATGTCACAGACTAGGCTGACATTTTAACTCAGTACTGGGAAAGAACCACATTATTGCAGTGGCAACATTTGGATGACACAGTAAACCGAGGTTCTGTCTGCTGAGTCCCAGAGAGTGAGAGCACTGCAGCTATAGAGGGAAAGATAGGCCTCTGCATTGACTTTGTCCACTTAGATTGAGAATTACAGTTAGCGGACTGAGTCTGAAGTGGAGGGGGGAACTAATCAGTGCCCTCCCACAACATCATTAGTAGAAACACTCATGGCCAACATCTTTTAATAATCATCTCTTAATCATGCTGAGCTGATGTTGGGTCACCTCAGGCTCTTCTTGTTCCATAATCTTGCTGCCTCTCCATTCTTCCAAAGTACTACATGATTCCTTTTAAGCACACGACAATGTACTTTTAAATTTAGTAAATCGCAAATAAATTGCTACAAAAGGCCCAAGAAGAACCATGGGCGAAAAGTAATATCTACAACTGAAACAACTGAGGTGAGAAAAAACAGAAGGCTTAAAGTCCCTGTGTGTAGACATCAGAGGATCCTGCAAAGACCTGAATAATTGGATAATGCTCGTCTTTGTACAGTGACAGCCAAGAGAGTGGGAATTTTTCACTGACAGAAATGTCACCGTAATTGAAGGCTTTGTTTTGGTAAGCTGATCGATAAATGCTTGCGAGCTATTATGAAGCTTTATTACCTTTTGTATCCAGGTCAGCAGGCACTTTTGATGAGCGACTAAACTCTTGCAGTCACAATACTGCAGCAGGGAGTCCTGATCTGTCATCTCTACATCACGGCAGATGAAGCATTCAAGAGGAACATCTAAAATAAAAGTAATTAAATTAAAAAACTATAATGATACAGTATCACGAACAACTGGAATCAAATTAGCTGAACAACGAGGCACTTATCTCATACGCAAATAGATTTATGTAAATAGTTTGACGTCTTAAAAATACAAATGCGTATATAATCTTGTTGGTAGGAAACTGGCTTGTTCTTCCTGGAATCTAGGTTTGTGTGTTATCGCATCAGACTTTTACTTAGTTGCAAGGGCACAGCACCATCTTTACAAATTAATTTGCAATTTCAAATAATGTAATAATAATCCTTGCATTTGATATAGCGCCTGAGCACATCATTCAGATGTCACAAAGCGCTTCACAAGATTTTACTGTGAAGTGTAGTGACTGCGCATTTGCAAGAGAATGCAGCAGTCAATTTACGGCCAGCAAAGTCCCACAAAGATCCTTGCAAGGAATGTCTTGTTTTTTTTAGAGTAATCTCTGTATCTCTTTCTACAATACAGTAATTATGCAGAGGACCATTCTTTAGACTTGGAAATGGAGGCAGATGCCTACTATAGATGCCAGAAAATAAATAACTTTTTGAAGTGCTTTTAGAAGGAAAGCGTGGTAACCAAAGCAAAGTGGAAAATAGGGACTGTAGGAGAAGGAAGCAAAAGGCACATTCTTAGTTTACAGAGATGCAATACTGATTAAAATGGTGATTTATTGTGTTGCCATCAGAATATACGTTATTTTGGACCAGCATACGATATGAACCATTTACCAAATTAACATAGAGGTGGTGTGATAAGGCAACATTAAATGCATATTTGCCAGTCACCAGTGAGAATGATTGCCCAGCTTGCAAGCAACACCTCATAGGAATTTGTCCTGGTGACAGCAGACACTTTTCTAGCTGTCCAGTGCTGTAGCATATTGGCATATGATTATATTATACAAACTTGTATTCAAAACTGGTTTGCCCCTGTGATGCTAAACAGGATGAATAGCTGATCTTTGCTTCACTGTCTGGGTGAAATGTCAAGTCAAGGACAAATCTTTCCCCAAAGCTATAGAAGCAATCAGCCAGTGAACTAACCAGCCACAGTCATAGCTCCCAGTAAACAGCTGGGAGCAGGTCACCTGTGTACCCTCTCTGCCACAGCTTGGATCAAGGATCCAAGGTAGAGAGGAGCTGGAATTAATAAGGGATAATGAGACGCAATCACTACCCAATGCCCTAGTGGGTAAATGCTTTGCTTGATGTGGGACTGAGCCAAAAGATCAAGAAGTTCCTAGGTCCGATCCCTATGCTGAGTTGGTTTATCTCACAGTGACTGACAGTGACAGGCTGACAGTAGGGTGCCACAATTGGCCTCAGTATCACCAGTGACCTCTCCTGTTGTGAGGATCTGGTGAGGATAGTATCAAGCTCGGCTGTAATGATTTCCAAGGTTAAATTGCTGCCAATGCTCACTATCTAGGCTCACACATGAGGAATGGGAATGGGTGAGATACCAGAGGGTTGCTTGCAACTTACCCCATTGTGAAACACCACCAGGGGAAACGAAGATCAGAGAAAGAAATGAAACATTTAATGGTTATATTTCCTACACTGACGTCATGAGGAGGCTGTTAATATTAGACCAGCTATTCTGACATCATAAAAAAGGGGGTATTTTATCATTGAAGACAGTGAAATATCAGGTTTGTTTCACTGGGAAAATATCATCAGTCACAGTATTTCACATTAATAAATTACACAATTGCCACAGAATACGACTAATCAATCAGGACTTTACACTTTACAGGATTTTGTATTTATATGAACAAAATGACACAGCACTCGAGTAGGATATGATAGGAAATCTGACTGTGTGTAATCAAGGCTTCAAACTCTTTCATCCAGGCTAAAAGTTTTCACTCAACAGGAATTTTAATTTAAAAAGAACATCAACAGGAACAAATAAAATGCATGTAGGAAAAACATAGTTTTGATTCTTCCATTTTCTGTTTGTACAGTAGTCTACTGACAAGATATTTGAACAACATTATATGGTGCACATTTATGAATCATGGAACAGGGAAGCTATTTGTCCTGTGGCTTGGCCATTGGGATAGCTCACTGTTAGTTCTGTTATTGAGGGATTGACCTGTCAACAACTTTCAACTTTTCCTATTCCTATTTTAGGTAGTCTTTTGGGAGTCCGAGCATCTAGAGCTGCAGGGTAACATTTTCTGAATAACTTTCTTTTAGATTATTTCCATAACACGAGACAGGAACCGATCGATACAATAGCCTCAGGGACTGGTTGACTAGTCTGACGCTGTATTTTCTTCGTCCATCGACCCCTAAACATGTACGACACAGTAGGGGGCCACTGGGCTCATCTTTTCGTGTTGGTATTTGCTTCTCCAAAAGGCCATCCATTTTCATTTCCTTCTCTTTCCCGTACCCTTTAACGCCCTTCCTCTGCACTTGCTTGTCCAATTAATTTTTAAATGCTCTGATTGACTTTGCTCTAACAGCCTGTCTCAACCCATTTTCCTTTGATATATAGATCTACACTTCCACCACTCACTGATTACATAAGGATTGCCACCATCTTTGCTTGTACCAAATGGTACAAGATTGGAAACATTGGAAACTCTTGTCATTGGTAGAGGTGTCCTTTGCACATATTCTTTGTACCAACCAGGAGAAAATATTGTGATGAGCTATCAGGGACTTGGTAATATCAATTTCTTATTGTTTTGCTATACTGCGTTGGCTTTACAGCTTGCCCTCGCAGACCATGGAGCACCAGGGGAACCATTTTCTGCACTTCCAGTGCAACAAATATTACCCCAGTTCTTCAAATGCAATTGATTGTACCTTGAGAGCCGTCCGTGTAACTGCAGAGAATGTATACAAGTCCTATAACAGGAACGATGTTCAGTCTATGATTGTACAGGTAGTTTGCAATGTCACAAGATGTCATCGCAGATTGATCTGCCAGTTACCCAGGCAGCAGCCACAACTCTTTCATTCCTGTTCTTTCACAGTTGTGCAGGTTTAATAGAAGTTAGTGGATCAATGGCTGCTGGGTAAGATACAAACCTAGAACTATTAGCGTGTGAGCATCTGTGTTTTTTTTACATAACTGCACATTTCCCCACGAATACACAGTCACTACAGTTGACAGCAATTCCCTGTGAAGTGCTTTGAGAAGTTACAACCCCAGAGGCAATATATTCAGAGTATTGTTACCATTTTGATTATGTCTTTCGTTTGTATTTGGATTATGGAGACTCTGAGCTGAAACTGTGGCTCCTGACTCCAGTGTTAATATTGTCCAGATAGAATCTGCAAATGTTTTATTCTTGCCATCCTGAATTGTGCAGGAGGGCTATTATAATAGGAATGAGTGAAGATCAACACTCCAAGCTTCCTAATCAGGCATCCTGATATAGTACAATTGAATTAATTTGTTTTCATGAAAAGGGTCATTAAAGATGGAATGCTTTGCCACAACTATCTATTGAGGCTGCAGCCATAGCAACATTTTGTATGAAATTGGACAAACATTTGAAGAGGAAGAGTTTAAGAGGATATGGAGAATGAGCAGAAATTGGGATAAAAGTGGGTACCTCCAGTTGATGGATTTGCACCTGCATTGGCTCAATGTAGCGAATGGCTTCCTCTCATGCTGTAATTTCTATGTTTATGCACTATTCAGTCACAACAAATAGTGCTGAGACCAACAGCCTAACCATATCAGTGGACGGATACAAGAATCCCAGAAAAGCAGAGACCCGGCAGGAGCCTTTCTGTGCATATAGAGGAGTCCTGTAGCTCAGTGGTTAGAGCACTTGCCTCGCAGATGAGAGATCTGGGTTTGATTCCCGGCAGGGCGAAACGTTGGGCTAGTTTCCTTTCTCCACATGCCTCTGTTTACCTAGTAGTAAGTCGGAACTCGGTTGTTAGCCGATTGACGGGTCGCTTTTCCAGGAGTACTAATTCCTTCAAAAAATAATAGTAACAATTTGGTCACTCAATCCCCGACTATTTGTGTAACGCTGCTGTGCGCAACTGGCTGCCACGTTTCTCCCACAAACTTGCAGTCAATTCACTTTACAGTATATTCTGTGAAGCGGTTTGAAACGTCTCGAAGACGTGAAAAGGTGCTATATCAAATGTAAGGCTTATTCTTATTCTTATATAGATATCGGCCTGACTTAGTTGGTAGCACATTTGCCATGAATTCAAGTTCCACATAAGAGCTTTGAGTACACAATCTTGGCTGACACTCCATTGCAACGCTGGGGAGCTCTGCATTGTCGAAGGTCCCATCAGTAGCCTCAGATACGAAACTTGGTCATTCACCTCATGGCTGTTTGAGGGACATTACAGTGCACAAATTGGCTGCTGTGTTCACCTTCAAATACACAGTTACTGTACTTCATACGAAAACTCAAAGTGAAGCATTTTAAGATGTTTGGCATGATTCAGCACTATAACAAATGCAAGGAGTATTATTATTATTATTGTTATCATTCAACCAAAGACATGGCAGACACAAATGTTGTGGATGTGAACAGGGAAATACCAGAAGTGAGCAGAAACAAAATGTATTTCTGCTGAGGAAAATTCAGAGGAATTACACCAACTCTTTGGTTTAATTCCATTTCCAAATAAACTGTATCCACATTTACATCCATGATAATCCTTGCATTTGTTATGGTGGCTTTCATGTGGGAAGGACGTTTCAAAGTGCCTCATAGGATTTACTGTAAAGTGTATAATTTACTGTGTATTTTTTAGGTGAATTTACAGTTACCATAAACATAAGACAAAACTAAAGAGAACAGAATGAAGAATTTCTATCCCCAAATGTCATATATTTATATATATATCTGCACGTGGAGAGATTTAAACAAAAATGACATTTGGTTGAACAACGGCTGTAAACATTCTCGAGGATTCCATTCTACATTACTCATGTTCCCCAGCTGGAAATTCCTTTAACATATAGCAAGCCACAGCTGAAATCT